CATTATATATATATGTGTATATATATAGAGAGAGAAAGAGAGTATTACATTGAGTATTTTTATGGTTTGTATGTAAAAATATATTTGGGATCAGGGTCTTTCAGAAAATATTTATAATCAATGAGAAAAAATCTGTATACCCTGTAAATAAACAGTTGGTTTCGGTTTATAGCCAAAAACAAAACCTGTGAATATATAGAGCCTAACTGTCCAAGTCAATAAAAAAAAACTGATTTTACGGCATATTATAAGTCAAATTAAACAAATTGCTTCAGCTACTAGTTCGTTGATTAGAACTTTCAAAACATTGCAGGGTATAAAGCAGATACCTGTTAAACTTTATAACTCATTTACTGCCGCAGTTAGTTAAGGACGTTTACAGGGTATCAGTGTATCGTAACCAATCTTTCAGTGTCCGAAGCAAAGAAACAATTCTAAAAGCTAATACTGTCAAAGTGGAGTCTGCAGATTTCAAGGAACGGCTTTTACACAGTATTTTCTGTATGCCATGTGAACGTTTTGGGACTTAAACTGTAAAGTCGTGCTTTGTTCATGTGATATTTCATCATTCTTTTACTGTCCATGCCAGCCCGTTAAGTATCTTTGTTTACAGGGTATCAGATTGTAAGTGAGACTCACAATGCATGAGCTGTAAATGTCGCATATATACGACATACATGTTTATATACATATGCTGACTGATTGGATTGGATATTGTATTTCATATGATATGGATATGGATAGTTGGACTTATGTATAGATTATCTTAGAATATGTCTGTAGATAGTATTGAGTATATATACATATACACACATATATGTATACATGTATATATATATATAGTTAAATTTTGTAGTGTATTAAATAACTGTTGGGCCAACTTACTTTGATGCAGGTGTTTGGGTTTTTCGTTGTTGTCATCATAGATTTCATCTAGTGATATATCTCTTTCTTCTACAAAATGAAATATTATAAGAGTGTGTTATAAGAGTGGATAACGTGAAACTAACCATTTAATGAGTTGAGAGATCGTGTAGGAAGCATTTCATAATTCTCACTACCTGAACCATCGGTGCCCAGTGTATTCGATAGCATATAGCTTTCATGTCTGGGCGGTGGGCGTGGCATTTGATTAACCGAATTCTCAAGCGTACCCTCGCCCGAATCTAAAGTAATTGACTCCTCCACATGCAGATTCTCAACCTCGTATTTGTTATCCCATGCGATCTTCAAGAATGGATTGTAGAAGGCGACTAAATAAATGACAGAGATAGAGAGATTGAATTAACTGCAGTCAAAATTATTAATTTTCGTCCCTATAGACACATACACTTGACATATTGATCCGCTGAGAAGGTCATGAAGCTGCCCTTGTAGCGATCGGCCAACGCATTACCCTCGGTAATGAGAAACTGACAGATCTCATTATTAAAGAAAGCATTAACACCGCCACTCTCCGTCACAGCGACTAATTGCAATGGAATGTTTGCATTCTGTGCAGCCAAAATGCTATGGAAATTCAAACAATATAAATGAGGATTATATACAATATGTTCTATAACTATATATTACTTGAGATTGGCCAGCGATGAGCGTCGTTTTGCCGAATAGATGTATATATAGCCATGGATAAGTTCATCCCGATATTGATTGGTGCCATGGTACGAAGATAAAATAAATTCCACACGCCGTTTGGCATCACCAATGAAGACATCGACAATGATGCAGTGCTCATTGGCTTTGACCAGCGTCGATTCGGCTAACAGTGGCTGGACAATGTTTTCGATATCATATTGATCGCCGCAATAGATGCAGACAAGTATGCGTAGATCGGTATGATTGGACGATGGATATGGTTCATAGCTTTTCATTTCGCTTAGCTTCAATGAGAGTATAACTATATTGAGTATATCGTAAACGTATTTCTGATGATTCTGCGTATGATCTATGAAATCGCAATGCAACATTTCGGATAGACGCATGCCCTCGCTGCGCAAATATTCAACTTCATTCTCTTTCAGATCTTGCGGTTGATAGACTAAAACAATTGGCAAATTCTCGAATTTATCTTCCAGCTCTAAATTGCATAAGAGTGTGCGTTCTAAATTATCCTTGAGCGTTTCAAACGATTGCTGATTTGAGTAAACACAAATGAGACCTACAAAGATATGGATATAAAGAGATATAAATAAGTATAATTATTTTTACTATTTTTTTTTTTTTAGTTTGTCTTACCACTAGAGTAGACATCGATGGCTTTAAATGCCTCCATATCGCCATTGGCAATGCGATAATTGAGATAATATGTTTGGTTCTCATAGATATATTCACCCTTGCTACCCGTACATATGCGAATATCGTTCAGTAAATCGCTGGCCAAATGCTCGGAGCCGACAATTAACAGATTCAATGTACGCTCGGAGCCATTGCCAGTGGTTTTCCAGCCGCCACCGCCACCACCAACATTACCGCCCATCTTATGATTGGTCGCTGACTTATCAGCGAGCACCTCCTCAATCAGATTGTCCACACAATTGTTGAAGAACGGACAATGATCCCTAATGGGGCAGTGGATGAAGCGTAAATGTTGCACCAACATCACGCGTCGCTCCTGATCCAAACGATCCAACATTTTGTAGCGCGAATCCTCCTGAATAACATCGGTTATCTGTCTAACATCCTCCTGTGTGATGATGTCCACATTCTTGAATTGGAGAAAATATTGCGCATGCTCCAGCAGCAGCTCAACAAAATTCTGTTTACTCTTCTCAATAATCTCGTCCTGATGTATATCATAGATCTGTTGGCAGTCGTGTTCGGATAACGCCTCGAAGCACTCACGGCCCATGAACAGGACACGCACCTCCGACAATTGTTTTCCGGGCGTCACAAAGCCAGATTCCTCCAGCAGCATCTTGAACTGTTGCTTCCAACTGCAATGTCAAATGATTTGTCTATTAGTTGTGGGCTAGATAAACTATGGTATTCAAAGTCTTTGTATATTTATCTATAATTGACTAAAAAGTTGTATGTATTTTCTATAATCAGGGATCAATGGTATGAAACCTTAGAAAGGCTATAACTATCAAGAGCTAGACATTAGGAAAGAGCTGTGCTCCTTTGATAATCAAGACTGCCTGCTCGTTTCTCTAGCTACAATATGGGTACTATCCCAATTTGAATCAGAATAAGTAAAGTAATTTTCCATATCTTACCCAATTTTCTTCTTGTCCTGCTGTACCGAATTCAAATAGTTACGAAATACGGTCTCTGCCTCATTCGTTTCCAGCACATCAAAAGGTATACGGGTCTCATCGTCTGGCACATCCATGTCGAGGAAGTCCGTCCAGCTGACTTGCGGAAACTCATAGAAATACTGATCGAATTCAATATGATTCTGTAAATAGTTGCGTGCACATTCCCAGGCATCATCATCGCTAATGTTCAATGCACTTATATCGGGCAATAGATATTCGAGTGCCAGTGCAAATTTGTCCAAATACTGATGCAGTTTCTTATTGAGATGATCGTCGCGCAGTTTCTTCATGTGACGACGGAATAGCTTCTGTCCGGCCTCGTGTCCGAATATGTTGAGGAACTCGTTCCATTCGCGGTACTGTGATAGCATCTTTGAGCCTTGTGACCACAATATATGATAATCGGTGATTTGATTTCGTATCAAGCGCGTTACGGCCTCCGATCGTATGTCGAGCAATTCTTTGCGCGACTTGGCCGATTCCTGATACGAAATGATCTTGACGCGATTCTTCACCTTGTCAATCATTTGGGCGAGCATCAGGAATGCCAAATCAATGTTGATGCTCTCATGTGCCGACGTCTCAATCAACTGCACCGTACTCTTGTAGTCCTTGCGTTGACTAATCTTTTCCGCCTCGCGCACATACAGCTCGTAGGCATCGTCATTCTTGGTAGTCACCAGGACAAGCGGCTTCTTGTTCTTCAATATATTCGCGATCGCATTCTGTACGAACTCCACTTGCTTCTCAACGCTACGATTTGGCACCGGACTCACATCGAACACAACGACAAAGCCATCGATACTCAAGCGTCCGTCGGGCATCACCTTTTGTTCGTACTCCTTTTCGATGCCCAGTTGATTTTTGCATATATACATCAGCTTCTCTGCCGAAAAGACCTTAGTCGCTGTGCAGCGTTTCAAATACGGATCCATTTTGCCGACTTTGAATGCTTGAAATGTCGAATCATCCATAAATTCTGTTTGTTCGATTATATTGAAATTGTATTCGACGCCCTCGTCCGTCGTCTTGCGCACCTCGCCCCAATAGAGAAAGTGATCATTATTCACAATGCGACCACTAAAATCACTTTGACTTAGCACTGATATGTGATCTATAAAATAATCATCGGCCATTGGCCGCATAAATCTGTTGCACAAACATGATTTACCAACGCCGACCTGGCCGCGATCCTTTTCGGTCCCGGATAGTCCAATGACCGAAATATTGAATTGACGCATCTTGTTGTTGTACCTGTAGATGGAGATGAAAGGATCATTAGATAAATACAACAAATTTATAGAGGATCCTGTTTAAATTTAACTTGGATCAAATCCAAATTTTAGAGCATTATAATTACATTTATGTTCGATGATCTCAGCTATTTGTAAAATATTTGTATTCTTTTCCAATTTTGTGGGAAGTGTTGGAGGGCTCCAAAATTCAAAATATCCAAACTCTCTTCATTCATCACAGTGAATTTATCCTACACATTACTGTGTTTGAAATCATTAGCTCCTGCAGTATTGAAAATCAAATCAAATGATCGATTATTTTCGTCAGGGAAATGGAATGAGCTATCGTAAAATAATAGGAAAATCGCACTCTCTCTCTCAATGCATATTTGAACAACATTCGATTGACCCAACTGATCAATAATATATTTTACAGGTTTGACACGTTGCCTTTTGACTGTTATATAACGCTATTATACAGTCTATATCCACAATCGGCTTAGCATTCATATAATAGTCTTCGTCTTATTCTGAGTCATATAATAGCTGAAACAAGTTTGCATTAGAAACCTTGAAAAACGTTTAATACATACAAATAATTCGATCCGTATGCTTGATATATAATATATTTACAGAATTGTATATATATGTATATACGATGCCGATTTTTCCTAATTAATGTTTATATACATATATAAACAATTTGTAAGTCTGTAAGCAACTTAACTCGAATTTTGTTGATTAAACAAGGGTAGTTTGCGAAGTTACAGGTAAAATTTAAAACAAAATTAGTTTACAAAGCTCAGTTTTCCGACTGAGCCCGTGTGATTAATCCAAACTTTAATCAAGCCAATAAGATTTAACAAGAATTACGATGGGAACTTTGGGAACTTAAATAGTTAATTCCCTTATAATATAACTACAATTAGTTGTATTTCCTAATGCAGTCATTAGACTATAGGTATATATTTGAATCAGCCCCATTTAAAGTAAACAAACAAACAAATGGTATTTTCACAACTTTTATCAATCACCAAGAATAGTTTATTCAAGAACTATGTTAGCCTTACAGCCAGTTTTCTATGGGTTCTTAAGACATTTCTATTCATAGAGCACTTTTCTTCTCAATTTATATTGGGGGACACAGAAACTGATAACGCCGAAATAACTTCGCGTATCGTCCCAGACAAATGACTGGCTAATGCGTGAATGAAAAGGTGTCGGCATGTTTGACCAGCTATTGCTTACAGGGTATACAAATTTCAAGGAAAGAAGGAAAATGAAAGAAAGGGAAAAAGTAACCGAAAGAACGACAACAACAAGAACAACAACTGCGGTAGGGAAGCACTTGGCTGAGGGGGCCTCCTCCATTGGGATACATCCACGACTGGACATCTCATACGCTAGAGAGCAGAGCAGAGCCGAGCCGAGCCAAGCTGAGCAGAGAGCCTGCGCTTAGCGGAGCGTACACACACAGCCGGCGCAGTCGAATGCAAATTGCCACCTGCCGCCCTCCTCCCTACTCCTCCCCCACATCGTCCTGCCACCTACTCGCTACAGCGGCAGCAAAAAAAAAAAACACATTTCCACAAATTCGAAATGACAAACATTTTGTGGTTAACTTTGCACACGCACGGACACACACACAAACACGCACCTTTAATTGAACATTATTTGAAATGTTTTTTTTTTTTTTAATAGATATTTTCGTTTCTGTTTGTAAAATTATATTTTAGTGTTCGCTCGAAAAGTTCTGCAACAAATTGAAAATCCTTTTGTGCCTGTTTCTGCTGTTGCCGCTGCTGCTGTTAGCTGCGCTGCTGCTGCTGCGACAAACGCAACTAAGCAAGAAACAGAGAGCAAATACTGATTTTACGAGAGCGAGCGCGCACAAGCGAGTATCCATGTTTGTGTGTGTTTGCGTGCGTGTGCGAGAGGGCGCGCGCGACTTTTGAGAGAGCAATACCAGCAGCAAGACAGTTATGTCAAATGTGGGTGGCGTATTGTTTTTGTTGTTGTTGTTGTTGTTGTTGTCTACACGTTTGCCCTGTGCATTTGTGGTCTTGTCGCCTGTTATCCTGTTCTCTCTGCTAACACATTTTGCAGCAATAGCATGTGCTCTCTTCAGTGTTCTGTGAATGAACACACACACACGCACAACAATTCTATAAGCAGTTGCAGTTAGCTGTGCTCGTGTGGGTGTGTACGCTTTTAATAAAAGCAACAAACACTCGAAACGTTAATTGAGTTTTCCGGCTTTACAAGAATTACACAAATATGCGAAACAGTTGCTGCTGCTGTGCGTTCTAAAGCCACGGCGTTGCCACCTTTTGCGCTCCATCTGCAAAAGAAGTGGCAAACACAAATGCAAACTGCAAGTGCAGCACGCAGAATCAAATGGTATTTTACGCAGAGGTTCCCAGCAACAGATTTCCTGTACAATATGTGTCTACATTCCCCGGTCTGCACAACAGGCAACAACAACAATAACAAAAGCAACAACTATACGATTAGTGGTGGACTCGAAACGGGTTTCTCTCCATCACAAGTCTGAGTTGGAAAACAATACACTAATTGAGACGATATGCATATCTTATCGATTGTATTAAATTTCATAACTTGTAATCTGCAATCCCATTTCCAATTTGGTATAACTATATCAAGCTGTTCTATTTATTTTGCTTTTGGGCTACGAATTTAATTGTCAATGTGGAGACGTAGATAACAAGAACACAAGCAACAATACGCACACGAAATATGAACACCCACACATGGTGCAGAGTCCTGCGTGTCACGTGAATAAACACGACTTTCACACAACACTATCAACGAAAACAGCAACAACAATGACGACGACCCTTGCACAAAACTCTCTGCCTCTCTTTCTGGTTTGTTGTTGTTGTCAATTGTCTAGCAAAGAGCGTCAAGCAGCAGGGGCGGTGGCGACTCTGTAAGGGGAATGTGGGAGGGCAGCAACTGCATGTGCAGCGAATGTTTAATGGATCCCAATCGGTTGCCAATTTTATAAACTTCATTGAGTTTTTAGCCAAGTTGTAGTAGTTCATGAATCGAGGGGGAATTAAGAAAAGGTGGTTGAAAGGGCAGGGCAGGGGYAAGGAATGGGGAAGTTCTGTGATTACCTGCAGTTGCGCACAAATAAGTGGACGGCTGGACAGCCAAAAGAAACGAACAAACACACACTCGATGGTCGTCGATTCAGCGTTTACCGATTCCCGATTCTGCTTTCGATTCCCGTTGTATGTTCGTTTATCTTGACTTTGTTTCGTGCATGTGAATGTGGATGCTGAGAATGGCATCCAACACACAAAAAAAAAGTCTTCTAATACTCCTTTGGCAGCAACAGCATCCACCAACACATACACAGAGAGGAAAATAGTTGGCAGTGAGAGAGGGAGAGGTCGGGAGAGAGTTGCACCGATTTAGTCAAGTTTACATGCACTGCAATTAGGCACTTGGAAATGTGCAACAAATTAGAGTTGTACACTTATTTGCTTTAATTATTTTCCAACCAGCCACAGCCAAAAGCAACAGCATTTTCACAAATACACATAAACTTACACACACACTTATAAAGTTACACACACTTACGCGCGCAGACCAAAAGAGCGAGCGTGTATACAAGACAATTACGAATCAGCATCGTAAAATACAACAAAAAAAAACGAAAAAAAAATTGGAAGCAGAGAGAGAGAAAGAAAACTTCCGACGCAAGTGAAAAATGTCGAGGCGTTTACGACTAACTTTTACTTGAATTTTATGCACAAACTGTATTAAACAATTACTCACAATTATTGCACTTGCACAGCTCCAATGCGTTTATTAAACGTTATAAAAATTAAGAAAATAAAACTATTTTTATATATTCCTCATCCGAGCTTCAATCTGCAAAACAATCTGAGCTACAAATTCAATCGATGGCAACTAAGCGATATCATCGATTGTCTTGAATTTGTGCTGCCCATCGATAACATTTCAAAGCTAACTATCGATATTCATAGTTGACTTTCACTTTTTTTGTATTTGTTTATTATAAATAAATACCTGAATAATTACTGAAGCTAAGGTGAAAGTAAGCAACTGTAAATAAATAAAACATTTACATTAATGTAAATATACATAAGCATGCCAGAAGCAAGCCAGCACAATATGTTTTAGGTTTCGCAGAGCAAATAGGCGCGAATGGAGGCTATTATATTGTATTAACTATTTTTCAATAAAAAACATACCATTTTGGGAACTGTAAAATAAATATTTGTTTTTTAGGTGCACTGCAAATTCAAAAAGTTATACCAGTTTACCGCGCTGCTTAGTAGTTGTCCCCCCCAAGTGAACTTCGATAAGTCGATAGCTTTAATTGTGCTCAAATCTTTATTTGCTGCTTGCGCAATTTTTTGTTTATTAATTATAAATACATTTAATAAAAAAAAATAGAGAATAACCTAAATAATGTAACGCTTAGATGTGTTTGTTTAAAGAAAGAAAAAACATATATGAAATACATTCTTGTTTGCCGCTTCATTTGAATTTTTGAATTGCAGTTGGCAGTGTTCCCGGCCAGCTGCGACGGCGGCGGCGACGACGACGCATCTTCTCCTCCTCCCACTGTTCCTCTTCTTCTAGCATTTGCGTTTGGGCGTGCGCCGTTTGACGCCGCAATTTTCCACCTTTTTGTTGCCCTTGGCAATGGCCAGCAGCTTAACCAGCTTCTTGTGCGAATCACCAACGATCCAGCCGTGTTTCTGATATTGCTCACTATCATCAAAATGTTTCGTCGTTAATTGTTGTGGCTGTTGCTGTTGCTGATGCTGTGACTGTGCATGTGAGTGTTGTTGTTGCTCATTGGATGTCACATCGGCAGGTGACTGGGCTTGTGACTGTGCTGCCTCGGCTGCTGCTGCTGCAGCTGCAGCTGCTTCGGCGGCCTCCACATTGATGCGCCCAAATTCATCGTCGCTGGAGCTGCTCCAATAATAAAGCTGTTTCTCGCTCGCCGGTCGCTTCCTGCGCGCCGGCGATTGACGATGCGTTTGCGACTTTCGTTTCGTTTTCAAGTTTTTGTTGCTGCTGCTGCTATTGTTGTTATTGTTGTTAGCTGTGACAGCAACTACAGCTGTTGCTTCTGGCGTCGCCGCTGAAGCAGTTGCAACTGCAGCTGCAGCTGTTGCTGTTGCTGTGGCAGCTTTATTGCTGCTGCTGCTGCTTCGCGACTTCTGCTTACTCGCACTGCTCGCTGCCTTCTCCTGTTGCTGATGCGACTGTGGCTGCGGCTGCGGCTGCGGCTGTTCCTGGCAATGATTCAGCTCCGGTGATTCCTCCAGCGTTCGCTGCTGTCGACTACTGCGCGTCCGTTGCGCTTGCTGCTGCTGCRACTGCTTTTGTTGTTCTTGTTGTTGCTGTTCCTGTTCCTGCTGTTCCGCTGCCTGCTGCTGCTTGCCACGCTTTTTGCTGCTCGCCGCTGGCTTCTTGGGCGCCTTTGGCGGCTTGGCTACGGTCTTGGCACGCGGTGCCTTTGCTTGTTTGGTGGGCGTGGCGGGCTCTGCAATACGCTGCCTCGCTCGCTTGGGCTGCAACACCGGCTCCACTGGTTGTTGTTGCTGCTCCTGCTTGCGTCCTTTGCGATTCTTGGCATTCGTCACGGACTGCGCCGCTTTCTCTCGCGGCGCTGCAAACGTCTCCGTCTGCGCCTCGCTGACCTTGCGCTTGCGTCGCTGCTCCTGCTGCTCCTTTTGCTCAATTAAAGCTATGATATCCTTGGTGGACAGGAACTCTTCGTACTCATCGGAGCTCCACGTCTCGACCAGCTTTTTGGGTCGATTTGTGGCGCAGCGACGCTTCGATTTCCGATGACCCTCATCGATGAGCTGCTCCAAGTCCTCAGTGCTCATGCCCAGCTCCGTCTGCAACTTGGACAGATCTTTGCGTGGCGGTTGGCTAGCAGCTTTCTTTACTCCAGTTGCCTTTCGTCCTCTTGCCTTGGCGTTCTTCTTGGCCGCTGGCTGCAACTTTTGCTGCTGCGTCGGCTGCTGCAGTTGCTGTTGTTGTTGTTGCTGCTGCTGCTGTTGTTGCTGTTGCTGCTGCTGCTGTTGTTGTTGCTGCCAATCGAGTGGCGCTGCAGCTGGCGACAACGGCTGCTGTTGTTGTTGTTGTTGCTGCTGCTGCTGTTGTTGCGGCTTGGCTGCTCCGCGCAGCTCATCGAACAGCTGATCCAACTGTGCCTTATCCTTGGGCGCACTCTTCACGGTCAGCTTAGTTGTCGCTGTGCTCGCATGCTTGAAGATGCGTCCCATTATGAGGGATTTGTTCTCAAAGGTCTTGGCGGTGGCGCGACTTGAGCTGCTGCTGCTGTTGCTGTGCTGCGTTGTTGAGCCGGACGAAGAGGAGCTGCTGGAGCCGCTAGAGCTGGCCACGTGCGCTGCCGATGACTTAACCACTTGCTGCTGCTGCTGTTGTTGTTGCTGTTGCTGCTGTTGTTGCTGCTGAAGTTGGTGCTGCGGCAGATGCTGCTGCTGCTTCACACTATCTCCATCCCCATCCCCATCCGCATCACCGTCCACATCCTCACAGCTCAGCGTACCAAAATCATAATCATCCCGATCCGAGTAGCTCGCCGTCGAGACGCTGTTGTTGTCCTCCGTCAGCAAATTGACGCTCGTCTTGGGCTTCTGGAACGTAATGGGCGCCTTCTCCTCTAGTCCAATGTTCTTGAACGGACGCTCGGGTATGATGATGCGCCCAGAGGCCGGCGGCAGGGTGGCGCTGCTGGCAGCAACTGTTGCAACTGTCGCCTTAATTATGGACGAGGCGTGCATAATGGTCTTGGATGATGTTGAGCTCTGCTCGGCGACAGCAGCGCCTGGCTGCAATTGTTGTTGCTGTTGCAAATGTTGCTGCTGTGGCTGTTGCTGCTGCTGCTGCTGCTGCTGTTGCTCGTTTAGCAATTGCTCGGGCATATAGTCCACGCCCGTTGGCTTCTCGCTGCCCAGCGCAATGTCCGCCAATTCGGTGAGCTTGCAGACCGCACGCGTCGTCTTGGCCACATCCATGTCCACTGGCAGCTGCGTGACGCTCGTCTCGTAGCCCTTCATGGCGGCTTTGGTCTTGAAGCGCGATGTGGTCATGTTTGTTGCAGTCAGCGCTGAGAACTGTGATGTGGCCGAGTAGCTCGGCGACATACGCTGATGGTGATGATGATGATGATGATGATGGTGGTGATGTGAATGCGGATGTGGATGTTGCGGATGATGTGGATGTTGTGGATGTTGCGGATGTTGTGGATGTTGTTGCTGCTGCTGATTGTGCTGATGCAGCTGCTGCTGACTGTGCTGATGATGTGGCAAATGGTGATTGCTGCGAGTAGAAAGTGAAAAAGCAAAATTACTAATTGAACTAGGCAAGTTCAGAACTAGAGGAAGAAGAAGAATCAACACTTACGTGGGCGTGGCAGCGGGCGGATTACGAAAGAGCTGCTGTATAACTGGCTGATGGGAGACAGCTGCAACTGTTGCTGGCAGTGGCACTGGCGGAGGTGACGGCGACGGCGATGCGGGCGACGACAATATCTCAACTGCTGGCGGACTAGCGGGCGTCAGCARCTCCACGGGCTTGCGTCCGGCAGCACTGACAATTACCGAGGGCGTTGTTGTTGCCGTTGCCGTTGCCGTGGCACTCTTCAATATGTTGCAGCACTCGTAAAAGAGACGCTCGTCGGGATTGAGATTAAGGCGGGCAGCACTGTGGGCGGGACTCGACGAGTGTTGTTGTTGCTGTTGCTGTTGCTGCAGCTGCTGCTGCTGATGCTGAGAGTGTTGCTGTTGCTGGTTGTCATGTAAGCGCAGACTCTCTTCCGTGATGACATGATGACTAGAAGGTAGCTGTGCTTCAGGCGCAGGAGCAGTAGCAACAGCAGCAGCTGCCGCAGCCGCTGCCGCTGCAGCCGCCGCCGCCGCCGCCGCAGCAGCAGCAGCCTCTGTTGGCACAAGCACTGAGGCACGTAGCTGTTGCAGCTGTTGGACAAACTGTTGCTCAGTTGATGCTGTTGCTCCTGCTGTTGCTGCTGTTGCTGTAGCTGCTGGTGTTGCTGCCTCCATTGCTGCTGCTGGCCGTGGACTGGGCGGTGCATTGCTCTTCGATTGCAAATACTCCAGCTCGGACAGCTTGGAGACGTGAGCCAGCGTCATGTTGTGCTTGGACAGCGATGTCGATGTGAAGAAGCTCTTGCCGCACAGCTGGCAGGCGAACTTGTCCGCCTCGTCCAGCTGGGCGCTGCGATTGCTGCGCTTCTTGGGCCGGCGTGTCAGCAGCACGCTGCGCCGTCGCCGGCGCCGACGACCGCGACCCGAGCGACCCACATCCTGCGAGTAGCTCGTATAGACACTCATCTCGTCATCCATGTCCATGTCCATCAGCTCGGTGTTTGTATTCTCATCGTCGGTGCCGAAATTCGAGTGCTCATCATTGAGATTTGGAGCGCTGCGAACGCTCATCGAGGTTGGCGGACGATAGAACTTATCCTGGTCGTCCTTGTCCTCCTGGTCGAACTCGTCGTTCGCAAATTCAAAGTCCTCATTGGCAGCCGACATGATCTTCTCGTTCACATTCTTAGCTATTTCCGTTAGATAGTTGTCTTCCTCTTCCAGATTGTCGCCGTGCTGCTGCTGATGTTGGTGTTGTGATTGCTGCTGGTGTTGCTGATGCTGCTGTGCCGCTTGCCGCTGTTGATGCTGCTGTTGATGTTGCTCCTCCTTGTGTATGTTCTTATTCAGACGCGGATCACGACTGTAGGTGGGCAAGGCGGCAGCAGCAGCARCAGCAGCAACAGTTGCTGTTGTTGGCGATGGCTGTTGCTGCTGTTGTTGCTGCTGCAACTGCTGCAGCTGTTGTTGTTGCTGCTGTTGCTGCTGCTGCTGCTGCTGTTTCAGATTCTGTTGCTGCTGCTGTTGCTGTTGTTGCTTCTGTTGCTGCTGCTCTTTTGCTGCCGTGCACAGGATGCTCGGTCGCAGAATGCAGCTAGCAGTGGGCGTGGCTTTGGCTGCTGCCGCCTCTTTCGCCTCCTTCGCCAGCAGCTGCTTCTCGATGCAATTGGAGAAGCTCTCCAGCGACGATTTCAATGCACTTATATTCGTCTCCGGTCCCAATGGCGCCGCCTTGCCACGCCCCCGCCTGTAGTAGCAGCTCTGCCGGCGCTTGGGTCGACCGCGTCCAGCTGGTGCAGCAGCAGCACCACCAACTGTTGCTGCTGGCTCGGGCAGCGCATTTTCCGTTTTGCAGCGCTTCGCGTCGCCGCCAACTGCTGCTGCTGCTGTCGGTGCCGACAACTGTTGCTGATTGAGCGACGCATTGCGCTTGGTGCTGGACATGAGCAACATGCCCGTCAGCAGCAGATCCTCGCTCTTCTCGTACGCCAGATTCTCGAGCTTCTTCAGATTGTCGCGCCGCGCATTGTCGATCTTAAAGCTCTCCAGCAGCTGATCGGCAACAATTGCTGCCAGCTCGTTCTTGCGGCGACGTCGCTGCTTTTTCTTGGCATCCTCCTTGGGCGGCGTTGGCTCAGCCTCAGCCTCTGTTGCTGATGCTGGAGCTGGAGCTGGAGCTCGCTGTGGCTCTGGCTCTGGCAGAGATTCGGGTTTTGGTTCATCCTCCGATTTCTTTTCCAGCTTTGTCTCCGGCCCTGCCTCAACTTCAATTGCGATAGCCGGCAACAATTCTGTTTGCGGCAAACTATGAAAGCCGGACGATGTGTTGTTGTTGTTGTTCATGTTGCTGCTGTGCTCCTCGAGCAATGCGCTGCAATTGAGCTCGTGCCCACTGCTGGGCGTGGCACTGCGACACACACTAGTTGCAATTGCTGTTGCTTCTGTCGATGTTGATTCCATTGTTGCAGTTTCTGTAGTTGAAACTGTTGCTGCTGCTGCTGCTGCTGCTGCTGCTGCTCCTGCTACACCTGCTGCTGCTGTTACCACAGCAGGTGTTATGGGCGGCGCTACAGAGATGACAGACACAGGCATGGCTGGCTTCACAGTGGGCGTGTCAGCAATGGGAGATTCGGGCGAGGATTCCTCTGCTGGTGTTGGCGCTGCTATTGCTGCCGGCAGCTGCAACTGCAATTGCTGCGGCGACAGCGGCGACAACTCGCGCTTGGGCGATGCTGGCCTTGGGCTGGTGGGTGTGGCCACCATAGGCGTCAGCGTTGCAGCTGGCGGTGTGGGCGTGGTCGCTGGGGGCGTAACCAAAGCTGGCGGCAGTGCCAATAGCTGTTCCACATTGTCATTCGCTAGCATTTGGGAGCTGTCCGGCAGCAACATGACTTCAGCTGTCGGCGTAGGCGTGACCGTGGGTGTGGGTGTGGGCGTGGCTGTTATAATGGGCGGCATGGCAGTCATCAGCAATGCCGAGCGACAATCGATGGTCTTGGAGCGCATGCTGCGCTTCTTTGGCGTTAGATGCCTAACGGGCGCAGCAGGAGCCGGAGCAGCAGCAGCAGCATTGGCAACTGTTGCTGGTGTGACAGCTGTCGTTGCTGCTGATGCTGCTGCTGCAACTATTGCTGGCGTGGACACTGCTACAGCTGCCGTTGCCGTTGCAGTTGCTGCTGCTGTTGTGCTGAACAAGACGCCAGCACTAGGCGCCACAGCCAGCGGCAACTGTTGCTGTTGCACTTGCTGCTGATGTAACTGCAATTGTGGCTGCTGCTGCTGTTGCTGCTGTAGCTGCTGCTGCTGCTGCTGTTGCTGCTCCTCCTCCTCCTCCTGCGGCAAACTGGCCTGCACGGCCAATATAACCGAGTTGATGGCATCGTCGATATGATTGTTGATCACCTCGTCCATGCGCGTGGCGGGCATCTTCTCCTTTTTGCTGGCCAGCTCTGAGGCGCGCTTCTTGGCCGGCGCTTTGACGGCGAGTGGCGGCGTCTGCGTGACCATGGCGGGCATTGCCACTGGCAGCGGCAGCACGGGATTTCGCACCTGCGGTATCTTCAGCAGATCCAAATTGGAATAGTAATGCGCAGCAGCAGCGGCTGCGGCCGCCTCGGTGCCACGCGCCAGCGGCAGTGCCAAGGCCAATGGCAGTTGCTCCAGAGCAGCCGCTGCAGGAGCTGGCGCTGGTGCTGCTGCTGGTGCTGCTGGTGCTGCTGTTGGTGCTGGTGCTGGCGATGATTTACGTTTGGATTTCTTGGACAAATCCAGCGGCTGCATCTCGTCCAGCTGCAACAGATTGCGCGCCTCGAAGCCGCAAATCGTTTGACGACGCGCGGGCATTGCTGAGTTGCGTTGCTGCTGCTGCTGTTGCTGTTGCTGCTGCTGTTGTTGCTGCTGCTGCAGCTGCATCTGAACTGTTTGCTTTACATGACTCAGATTTAGCGGCTGCTGCGGCTCCATCACATAATTAGCAGGCACTGGCAAATACATTGGCAATTTCGGCAACAGCAATGTTGCTGCTGCAGCTGCAGCTGCTGCTGTTGGAGGTGGTGCTGGTGCTGGTGCTGTTGCTGAAGCTGGAGCTGGAGCTGAAGCTGCAGCTGAAACTGGAACTGGAACTGGTGCAATAGCTGCTGTTGCTGTTGCTGGTGCAGGTGGTGGTGGTGGCGGCGGTGGTGGCGGTGCCGGCGCTGGCTGAGGTGGCAGCTTAACAGGCACGGGCAGTGGCACAGGCAGTGGCAAGGGCAGCGGCAATGGCAACACTGCCAGCGGCAACTGTTGCTGCTGAGGGTGCTGCACTTGATGTTGCTGCTGCACGAGGTGTTGCTGCTGCGCTTGATGTTGCTGCTGCAACTGAAGTTGCTGTTGCTGCTGCAGCAATTGTTGTTGTTGCTGTTCATTTACATATGGCTGCATTTGCTTGGTGGCTGCCTTGGTGGGCGTGGCACGCCGCACAGCAGGCACAACAACTGGCACGGGCACAGCAACAGGCAGAGGCACAGCAACCGGCACCGGCATAGGCAATGGCACAGGTAATGGCAAAGGAGCAACTGTTGCTGCTGCACTTGCAATCACTTTAGTAACTATTGCTGCTGCTGCTGCTGCTGGAGCTGGTATTGCTGCTGGTGCTGGCGCTGTTGCTGCTACTGCTGTTTTTGTTGCTGTTGTTGTTGTTGTTGATTTTGTTGTTGTCGCTGTTGCAGCTGCTGCTGTCGTCGTCTCGCTGGGCGGCTTTATAATGCGCCTGGACATGGCCTTGCGTTTGGGCGTCTTTGGCTGCAACTGTTGCTGCTCGGCAGCTATCGTCGCGGACTCAGTTGCCGGCAACGGTTGCTCCTTCTCTGCTGGCTGCTGTTCAGTCTTGAGCTTCTCCTCCAGCTTCCCTGTCAGCATGGCTATGCAGTCGCTAATGCGCTTGCTGCGCTTCACAGGTTGCTGCTGCTGCTGTTTGCTGGCAGCAACTGTTGTGGTCGCTGCTGCTGCTGCTGCTGCTGTCGCTGGTGTTGCTGTTGTTGCGGGTGTTGTTGCTGTTGCTGTTGCTGCAGGCGCTGGTGTTGTAGGCGGCGTTGGCATTAGCTGCTGCTTGCTGCTGTGCGTGGGCGAGACAACAGTTGTTGTTGTTGCTGTCGTTGCCACTGCTGTTGCTGTTGCGGCTGTGGCCACTGCACTGGAAGCTTTTGCTGTTGCTGTCGCTGCTCCTGTCGCTGCTCCTGCTGTTGTTGTTGTTGTTGTTGTGCTGAGTGGCACATCAATTGCTGGCAATATTTTCACCTGCTGCTGCGGCTTGCGGCGATTTCGCTGCTGTTGCTGCTGCGGCTGCTGCTCGCCAGCAACTGTGGCTACTGCGGCTACTCCAGCTGCTGCAGCCGGCTTGGCGCGCACCAGACGCGAGCGCGTGTTACGCAGCGCATGATGATGCAGATGATGGTGATGATGGTGCAAATGATGATGATGATGATTGTAGAGCTTCTTGGCATTGCGCGATTGCAGCTTCTTATTGGGTTTGCCCTGCTTCTTCGATCGTTTCTTGTTGTCCATCGGAAAGATCTTTTTGCACACGCGTTTCGCCGGCAAATTCTCAAGCATTTTGCGTATCGATTCAGCTACAGCAGACAGAAAGAGAAAGAAACAGCGAAAGCAGAAATGAGATACTAATTGAGGTTTTTCATAGATCTACATATGTATATAATAAATTCACATTATCTACAACGCTTTATTTTCAATTTACTATAGCTCGTTCGTCATATGAAATTCTTACTGTATTCCATCCCATATCAAAAACTAAAATCTCTCTCTCCCTTCTCATAGATTATTTTTGTAATATATTTTATTATATTTGCATGTATTTAACGTTTCCACTAAGCCCTAAGTAATTTGTATATCTGATTCACTGTACACACTTATACTATTATTATTATCATTATAAATCGGTCCGTCAAGAATCCTTATAATATTCAATCTAATCTAATGCTTATCATATGCTTGCTCCATTTCCACTCCATTCAATATCTATTTTCCTCCAACCAATAGACTCTTCAAATTTGTTAAACCATCTCCCTCATTAGTACATATTATTCCATATATGTCTATTATATAGATTAGCTCTATTGTTCTTCATATTTCAATGAGCTAAATCCCTTCTCTCATAAGTATTATATCTTTGTTCTTCAAGAATCCCATCTAATCTATTGTGCATCATCGGATTGCTTCAGTGTAGGTCCAGTATAAATCACCCTACTCATAGCTATTGCATATATGTTCGTCCATTGCTAGTCATATTGCTGTTTCACTGTATACCAATCAAATCGAATTGAAGTTCACAAATATAAATAAAGTTGTTTCTCAAAAGTCGCTGGAAATTTGTATTCTCAAAAGAAGCGTGCGTCAAATGCCTGCTTCACTGTACATCAGCAAATCTGAACGGCCGTATAAAATCAATTCGTTCGTCATATGACTACTCCACTGTACTTCAGCAAATCTACTCTATGAATAACCTAGATCGCCTCATTCACTCTTCTTGAACACCTCAGTGCCCATAACTTCCTCTGCATCTTCTCCGCCGTTCGTCATATGGCTGCATCACTGTGCCTCAGCAGATGTACCTTCTGAACAGCCTTCTGAATCGTTTTTCCCATAGATATTTTATATGCAACACTTTTTCAAATGCAATTACTTCCCCCGTATCAAATCCATTCGTTCGTCATATGACGACTTCACTGTACTTTAGTAAATCTACTCTCTGAATAGCCTATATCGCCACCTTCACTCTTCCAAATGCTCCTCAGTTCCCATCACTTCCCCTGCATCTTCACCGCCGTTCGTCATATGGTTGTTTTACTGTACTGCAGCAAATCAACTCTCTATACCGCCTCTTTCACTCTTCCAACTGTTCCCCAAATGCAATCACTTCAATCCGTATCTCCTCCGACGTTCGTCATATGGTTGTTCTACTGTACCTTGTCAACTCTATTCTATGAATAGCCTATACCCCCTCTGTCACTCTTCCAACAGCTCCTCAGTTCCCATCACTTCCCCCATATTCTCACCGCCATTCGTCATATGGTTGTTTTACTGTACTAACACTCACCATCGCTGGGTCGTTGACGCGGCGGTGTTTTCGTTTTATTCGAATTGGAATTTGAATTGGAACTCTCCTCGGACGCATCATTATTGTTGCTCGCCTGCACCTGCTCCTGGTCCCCATCTCGATCCCGATCCCGATCCCGATCCTGATCCTGATTYTGGCCAGTGGCTGGCATTGGCACCTGTTTCTTAACCTTCTTGTTGTTCTTGCGCAACAGCTGAGCGAAGTGCTTGGCGGGCTTGTTGCAGGCAGTGCGTCGCTTCTTCGAGCCACAATAGTAACGGTATTTGCGCTTCTTGGCCAGCGACCAAACGTAATCACCCGAACAGTCGAGCATATGCCGATAGAGATCCATCAGGCCGCTGCACTTGCGGCCACATTTTGTGCAGCTGCAACTGTTGCCGCTGCTATAGCTGCAACTGTTGCTGTTACTGTAGCTGTGACTGTTGCTGTTGCTGTTGCTGAGGCTGGCCGGGGAGCAGGCGTTCGCCTTGATATCGCTGCTGTCGTTGTCCTCCACCGATGTTGAGTTGTTGTTGCTGCTGCTGCTGCAGCTGGTATTGCTATTGCCAGTTGCTGTTGTTGTCGCAGTCGTTGCCGTTGCCGTGGAGCACGGTGATCCGCTCACTCGGCCCCTGCCAAAGGCAGACGACACAGCCGAACAATTGGATGAACTGGATATGGCTTCGTCCTCAACAATTGTACGCTCCTGCTTGTGCAGCAGCAACTGTTGCTGTTGCTGCTGCTGCTGTAGTTGTTGCTGCTGCTGCCAATGYTCGGCCGCATAGCGACTCAGCGCACGCTTGGGCATAAATAGATGCCGCAACAAGTTGCCCGCCAGCAGCTCCCGTCCGACCAGCTCATAGTGCGTCGCATAGATGTGCGAATGGCGAAAGGTTTTGTGCTCCTCGAGCGCCTTGCGCTGCTCGAACTTGGCGCCGCAGCAGATGCATAAATATAAACGAGGACGCGCCCACTCGCCGCTGAGCACAAGTGTTGTTGTCGTTGTGGCTGTTGCTGTTGTTAGGAGACGTTGATGTTGCTGTTGCTGCTGTCGCTTTGGCTGCAGCTGCAACAACGTTAAGAAGTTTTGCTCGGAGGTCGCTTGCGCTGGCAACAGCTGTTGGTTCTGCTGCTGCTGCTGCGGTTGTTGCAGCAACTGTTGCTGGTCCGGCTGCTCCTCTTTGATAATTGCCTGCTCGTTCTGCTCCAGCATTATGTGCGGCAGGAGACGGCGATCCAGCAGCAAATGCAGCTGCTGCAAATGTTGCTGCTGTTCGAGCTGTTGCTCCAGTTGCTGCTGTTGCTCCTGCTGCTGCTGTTGCTGCTCCAGATCGTGCTTCTGGCGCATCGTCAGCTGCGTCCACATGTCCAGGCGCGACAAATCGCGCAAACCCATAAACGGTTGCTTCAGCTTCTTGACCAGCCGCCCGCCCTCGTTGACAATCGTGAACTTCTTCACGTAATCCCATTTCCACTTCCAGCTGTGCTTGGTGTGCGGTCGTCGCGCTGCCTTGGCCAGCGGCAAGGCTTCCAGTCCCAGGCCCAAGCCATCGCCGAACTGCTCCGCCGTCAGCAATGTAGGATATGCGGCGTTGCACAGCGCCAACTGTTGCGGATTGCTGGCAGCCACAACGCTAGCAGCACCAGCACCAACAGCAGTGGGCGGCTGCGGTGGTGCCGGGCCGCTGCGCAGGCGCCCGTCGAGATAATGCTGCAGATTGTGACGCACATTGAGCACCACATCCTGATAGAAGTTGTCATCAAAGACGTGGCTATGGCTGGGCATGCGAAAGTGTGTGTCATCAGCAACTGCTGTCGTTGCAGATGATGCTGCTGATGATAATGATGACGACGATGACGATGACGATGATGATGATAATGCTGCTGCTGCTGCTGCTGCTATTGGAGCTGTAGTTGTTGCTGTGCTGCTGCTGGCAACCGTTGTTGCTGTTGCAGCAGCAACATGACTGGAGTTGCTCAAAGATGTTGCTGCTGCTGCGGCGGCGGCAGCTGCTGCTGTGGCTGCTGCTGCTGCTGCCGCTGCCTGTCGCTGAGCTGCACGACTGCTGCTGCGCTGCTGTTGATGTTGCTGCTTTGTTGCAGCTGTTGCGTTGTTGTTGCGATTGCGTTGTCGCTGCCCGGGCAGACGATTCTGTGTGAGACCCAAGCGAAAGAGCACCGGCTCCTCAGCGCCAATCATAGAAGACGATTGTGACTGTGACTGCAACTGTTGCTGGTGTTGCTGTTGCTGTTGTAGCTGCAGCTGCTGTTGCTGCAACTGTTGCTGGTGCAGCAAGCGCATATGGCTGTGCAGCTGGGCAGCATCATTGAAGCGCAACTGGCATTGCTGGCAACCAAAGTATTTGTCCGCATGGCTGGCAATCAGATGGACAAATAGTTGCTCCAACTGTTTGGCGGGCAGACAAATTGGTGGCTGCAACGTTTGCGATTTGGATTTGTTGCAGTGCTGACAGCCCGGAAAGTGGGCGTGACTGGAACTGTGAGTGCTGTTGCTGTTGTTATTGTTGTTGGTGGAACGATTGCTGCAGCGTCGCTCTTTACGTTCCGTATGAAATTTATCCACATGCTTGGACTGCAGCTTGCTGGACGCGAACTTCTTATCACAGTACAAGCATAGAACTTTGATAAAAGCCGTTGCTGAATATTCCTCAAGTTCGCGTTGCTGCTGCTGTTGCTGTTGTTGTTGCTGCTGTTGCTGTTGTTGTTGCTGCTGTTGCTGTTGCAGCAACTGCAACTTTTCAACGAGACGCGGCAAACGCTCCAGAGGCACACTGCATACCAGCGAGGCAGACAGTTGTTGTTGCTGCTGCTGCTGCTGGTGTTGTTTCTGCTGCTTGTTCACTTTTTCCAGTTCCGCTTCCACTTCAATTGGTTCCAATTGCTGCTCTCGGGGCAGGCTATGATTGCGTTTTTTGCGTGGCGGCGTTGCCAGTTTTTGTGCAGTTGGTCCAATTGGATTCCCATTATTATTATTATTGTTATTGTTATTATTGTTATTGTTGCCATTGACCTGCTGCTGCTCCTCGGAAAATTTGAAGCCACGGCGCAAGCCAAAGCGCGACATGGTCTTCATATGGAAGCTGTTCTATCAAAATGCTGTAAAAGAAATACAAAAACCAACAATCAAAATCAAATTTCGTAGTGCACTGTCTCAAAATATAAAAAAGCTCGTATGTATGAGTGCGTGCATGCGTGCGTTTTCATGTGAGTGTGTGTGTGCATGTGCATGCGTGTGCGTGTGTTTGTGTGCGTTTGTCAGTGTGTCCACAACTGCAGCAGCATCTTAAAATCAATAAAGAACAAACAATAAGCCGAATAAAAGCAAATAAGCAAAACGCATTGTTAAAGCCGAGCGCACATTTTGTTGACGAATGTGCGCAAATGACAAACTAGACGAAAAAGAAATAGAAAACGGCATATAAACAAAAACTAAACGGACGCACACACGCACGCACATGGAATACACACACATGTACACGCATATGAACATTTACATATGCGACTGTGTGTGCGTATGCATGTTGAAGTTGTAATGAAAAATTATACAATAAACATTTTGTACACACTATTTTTTTTTAGATGAATCTCGATGTTGTTAATTTTTATTTAGTTTACCCCGCTTGAAACGTTGCTGCCTAATTTGTTTGCCGCCTGCCTACACTGCCGTCTCTTTTATAGATTTCTACAACAAAAAATCTATTTTTTCTCCTTTTTGATTACTTATTTTCTATCTTATTTGTTGGCCTTTTTGTTTTGCTGTTCGAGTTGCGACCGTGTTGGCGTTTTGTTGTTGTTGTTGTTGCTGCTGCTGCTGCTGTTGTTTTTTTTTTTTTATTGTTTAGTTCGTTTTGTTAATATTGCACTTGAATTCGTTACATTGATTGGGGCATGAATTAATTGAAAAATGCACAGCATTTCCTTTCTTTTCTTTGCCTTTTTTTTTTATTATTATGTACTTATATATTTTTCCACCCTAACAAACTGCGTTAGGAGGTATCTAACTTTTAGCCCAAATCGATGCGTGCGTAGAGCACAGACAGTGGCAGAGCAGCGGCTGAGGCAGAGGGCAGCGCAGCACCAACTAGAAGCAGCGGCAGGACACTGAGTTAGAGGTGGTGAACGATTTTTCTCTGGCACGAGCGAATGCGGTTTGAAACAGTCCATGTCCATTTCCATTTCACTTGCCGCAATTGAATTGCTTAACCCATTTTATGCGCGCACAACTAATTCACTAATTGTTGTTGTCTTTTTTTATTTGTTATTTTTTTGTGTTAAGTATTCTTTTAATTCTTCACGCACACACACGCATACGGCACACACACATATTTAGTTGCTCAAAATAAATGTGTTTTCTTATGAGAAGAATCGAAATCGCCTCAAAAAATGGTCGTGTTGTAGCTGCAGTGTGTACACACTGCCCAAAATGTGTGGTTTATTATTCTAATTGGGTATCGATACTAAACAGTAGCGATAGTCGCTCGAATCATAGAATATATATTTATTGATTCACATTTTTAAAATTTATTCTAATTAAAGGTATTTTATTTGCATATGTGGTTATTGAATTGTTCAATAAAGTAAGTAGAAAATTTGCTAAAATATCGATACATGTAAAATTTGGATAGTCACTGCAGCGCCAATCGATATGTGGACCATCACCCATCACCAGACTTAGTGAAGCTTGTTTTTAGCCAGTCATTTACTTTTCCTCCATTCATTATCCACCGGAACGTTAAAATAATAAATACAAAATGGACATATTCATGGCAGAAAGGGTAAGCATTTTGTTAAACCATACTTTATTATTGCTATTATAATATATTTTATATTGAATTCTTCTACCCCTTTTAGCAAGATGAAATTGAATTAAAGCCAAAAGATGCGCACAGCTCGTTGGATGAACTAGATCTGGAAGATTTATATGTGCGCTATAAGGTTGGCCCCGTCTATGTTATATTCAATCCGCAATTTATAATTTCTAATCCGCCATTTTTTGTTTTAGAAATTGCAAAAAACTTTGGAATTCATTGAGGTGCAGGAGGAGTACATCAAGGATGAGCAACGTAATCTTAAAAAAGAGTATTTACATGCACAGGAGGAGGTGAAACGCATACAATCGGTGCCGTTGGTGATTGGCCAATTTCTGGAAGCTGTTGATCAGAATACTGGAATTGTCGGCTCGACCACCGGCTCCAATTACTATGTACGCATCCTCTCCACTATCGATCGTGAGCTTCTGAAGCCATCTGCGTCGGTTGCCTTGCACAAGCATAGCAATGCTTTGGTCGATGTCCTGCCACCAGAAGCGGACAGTTCCATATCGATGCTGCAACCAGACGAGAAGCCCGATGTTAGCTATGCTGATATTGGTGGCATGGATATGCAAAAGCAGGAGATTCGAGAAGCTGTCGAGCTGCCGCTCACCCACTTTGAGCTGTACAAACAAATCGGCATTGATCCGCCGCGTGGTGTCCTGATGTACGGTCCACCCGGCTGCGGTAAAACGATGTTGGCCAAAGCTGTGGCCCATCATACGACCGCCTCGTTCATACGCGTCGTCGGCTCCGAGTTTGTGCAGAAATATTTGGGCGAGGGCCCGCGCATGGTCCGCGACGTATTTCGACTGGCCAAGGAGAATGCGCCAGCCATTATTTTCATCGATGAAATCGATGCGATTGCCACGAAACGTTTCGATGCCCAGACGGGCGCTGATCGTGAAGTGCAGCGTATTCTGCTCGAGCTGCTGAATCAAATGGATGGCTTCGATCAAACGACCAATGTGAAGGTGATTATGGCAACGAATCGAGCTGACACTCTAGATCCAGCTCTGTTGCGACCGGGTCGCTTGGATCGTAAGATTGAATTCCCGTTACCGGATCGAAGACAGAAACGGTTGGTCTTCTCCACCATCACATCGAAAATGAACCTCAGCGAGGATGTCGATCTGGAGGAGTTTGTGGCGCGTCCCGATAAAATCTCTGGCGCTGACATCAATGCCATTTGCCAGGAGGCGGGTATGCATGCGGTGCGCGAGAATCGTTACATTGTCCTTGCCAAGGACTTCGAGAAGGGTTATAAGAACAACATCAAGAAGGACGAACAGGAGCACGAGTTCTACAAATAGATATACTTAAAATTACCAACATCTTTGTTCTTTATTCACGTTTATCGTAACCCTCAACTAAGAATTATAATTATAATAATAATAAAATGATATCTTCTTATATGTATGACATTTCCACTTCTGTAACTTGGGCATTCTCCATGGAAGCTTGTAAAACTTCAAGTTAAGTTATTTGGGCTTAGAAACAGTTTCAGAAATATGATCTGAAAGTCTTTTATATCGAGCCCTTTGAACATACTTCTCTCGGTCAAGGCATTTAGACTTTGTTTCCAAAATTAAGACAAATCAGAAATGTATAAAAAAATGTGCATTTTATTTGTTGTAAACACACGCACAGCAAGCAAACAACTGAAAATCAATAATCAAAAATAATAATGAATCAAAAAAGAAAAACAAATATCAAACTAACTGCAAGACAGTTTTTATTGTTGTTAGTTGGTGTTGTCCTTGTCAGTAGTCCTTGAGTCCGTCCAGCTTAACATCAATTTAATTGGGTCACGTAAAGGCGGATCAAGCAATGGCAACAGCTCCAGCTTGATCGGTGCTCCAGGTGTAACTACTTCATCAGTGAATTCACGACAGCATTCACATTGATGGCCTTGAGGTCTGCATAGGTTTGTCCAGTGCCAACGAACACAATCGGCTGGCCCGTGATATAGGTCATGGAGATGGCGGCGCCTACTTTGTCGTCGATCGTATCGAATTTGGTCAGAACGATGCCGTCGATGATATGGGGATTCTCATTGGATGAGTAGTCTGCCAGAGATTGATTGAATTTGACCAGCTGATCGACCGCCTCGTTGCCAACAAGCGCCTCGCCCACAAACAACACCAGATCCGGATTGTTCACCTTGATTAGCTTGGAGAGTGAACGCATCAGTGGCTCATTGTCCTGCATTCGTCCAGCCGTATCCACTAGCACCACATCCACTTTTGTATCGTGCGCATATTTGATAGCCTCCATGGCGATGCCAGCCGCATCTTTGCCATAGCCCTTCTCGTAGAGCTGCACCATGGTACGCTGCTTGTGCTTCTCTGCCGGATGCAGTGCATTCAAGTGTCTTGTGTGTGTGCGCAATTGTTCCACGGCGCCAGCTCGAAACGTGTCACAGGCAGCGATCAATACACTGAAATCATTCTCAATCAGCCAAAAGCAAATTTTGGCCAAATTTGTGGATTTGCCAACGCCATTCACACCACAGAAGATGATCGTATATGGACGTCCATTACGCTTCGATTCCAGTGCATCACGTATAATATCGATGCGACGCTTGGGCGACAGAATCCGCACCAGGGACTGGGTCAGCGCCTCTTTGACCATGTTCGCAATGCTATCGAAGGTACCCATTTGCTTGCCTTCCAACGAAGTGGCCACCGAATCGCATAGCTTCGCGGCGATTTCAGAGGCCACATTTTTCGAGATTAGATGATCGCGCATCTTCTCCAGCGCCGGCTGCAAGTCGTTAAGCGTCATAGTCTTGGCACCGACAATGCCCTTGAAGTAGGATAGGAGGCCGCCGCCCTTGGCCTTTCGCTGATTACGTTGCTGTTGCTGAGTCTGCCTCTGTTTCTGTTGCTTCTCCTCCAGTTCACTGTCTACGCTGGCCTCGCTGTCCGCTCCATCCGTGTCGCTCTCCACATCCAGGTCCCTTATGCTACCCTGCATGGTGCCCACCAGCTGCAAAATATGCTCATAGTTTAGTCATACTGTTAGACAATGTGATCTCTCTCCTCAACCTACCTCATTGTTGATAGTCTGAAGCTGCACATCTTCGGGTGCATCCTTGGAGCGATCGAGCAGCACAGCATCCTTGGAATTGCCACCCAGATCCCAAACACGCGGCTTCTTGCCCGCCTTCTCCCGCTCCTTATCCACCGTGCTTTGCTTGGTGGGTTTTGCCTCCCCCGACACCTTCTTTGTGGGCGTCAATTTCTCGCGAAGTTTACGTCGATTTTCCTGTATTATATCATCAGTGGTGCGTGGCGGTGACGCTGGCTGGGATTTGCTTGTCGGCGGACTTTCCTGTATATTCACACGCTTCTCCGCTGTGTTGGTTGCCTTCTTGTCGTCCTGGATCATGGATGCCACGGTTTTCTTTGACTTCTGCGATTCGTTGTAAGAGCGCATCGCTTTAGGTGCTTTGCCCTGCTTGAGAGATGCCTCCTCGGCGGCGCTGAGCACCGTTCGGAACTCTTGCTCGAATTCATAGTCGATTGCCAGTCGCTCCTGTGCCGCAATTCCGGAGAATTTCTCCTGAAACGCACTTTGCATTTCTGCTAGAAAGCTATCCAAATAGTTGAGCTTGATGACTTTTTGAAAGACGGCGGCATAAACCACATCGAGCTCATTGTCTAGCTTAAATTGTACGGCCAAATGATCCTCCTCAAAGTACTTGGACTCTGTATTGCGCTCCTATACACCAAACAAATTAGCATTAACAATAACAATAACAAACAGTTCGGTTGGCTTACCTCTAGAATGACGCCACGTATTAAGCTGTTGATGCACGAGGCATAGTTCTTGCCGGATTCATTTGAATTCCAGAGCACAACGCCGCCTTTTGTGAATATGACCACAAAGTCTAACATTTTCTATTTACGTACTAATTGGTCAAAAAATTGTTCTGTAAAGTAAACGCTAAAAAATTTAACTGGAACTAACTAGCTGCCAAAACACATTCCACGTCACGAGCCCGATATTTACGTCGATAGTTATCGATATGTACATATATGCAAAGCAGTATGAAATGTAAAACGTCGAAATGTCACTTGGTTACCGAACATAAAATACCCTGTAGACCTGATTTTACAAAATTGTATAGTACAACCCAGTACTTTTTACATATTTAGATATTATCTTTTTTATTAAATTTTAAATGTTTATCAAACATATGTTTCAATAATATAAAAGTGACGTTTCTGTAAAGCTGACCTATCCAACTTTCACCCAACAAAGTAGAAGACCTGTCCAAATCGCAGCTGATTGTATTAGAGATGAGACAAACTTTTAAAAATATCGCCCAATTTAGCATAAAACATTTAAAGAAAACAATATACTTATAGACTTTTAAGTACACTTTTAGTAGTTTGACCAAAGGTGTCTAATCGCAGAAATGAAAAAAGATCATAATTTTTCGTGTATTTTTTATTGACGCTTATTAACTAATGTTCATGGTTTGTGAATGGAATTTAGAACATTATTGCAATGGATTTCACATACATGAAAAATTTTGTTACAAAAAAGTGGACATTCGTTGAATGTAATTCTATACAGAAAAAAAAATTAACGTAAATATAATGTTTAAAAGCGAAAAAATATATGCTACGTAAAATGGATGATTATTATTGTTCATCTCCTTCTGGTGCTACTAGCCGGGTGCTCCTTCCTCTCCTCCAACCGCCTCTCGCTCATCACTCTCCGGACTCCAAGACTTACGAGCCAACAATAATGTTATTGATGGGAATGTGTATCAGCTTGACAAAGAATCCAATGAAGCCCATGATGCAGAAGCCAATAGCTGTAGCGATGGCGATCTTTTGGAACTCCTTGCGATCGGGCTTCGTGCAGCGTTTCACCAAACGAATGGAGTCCTTGGCAAAGGCACGGCCAGGCTCGGCAAATTTCACAACTTTATCCATGATAATGCTAAATGTGCGATACTTGGGAAGCTGCAAGTGTATTCAGAATTGATTACAATTATTAATATAAGACGTTACGATATATATCATGTAAAATGAATGTGGGCCAGCGCACTTTCACACAATAACAAAAAAAACCCGAGACATCGTAAACGTCACGACGCCGACGACAAGGCTGACGACGTGGCAGCCGACGACGTTGGCGACGTCAGAGGTGAAATTTTTGTTGCTGTATGAAACCGCTATCGAACTCTGTTGCACGTGTCGCTGCATTTCCCAAATGATTTTTCATTAATTTCCAAATAGTTTGTTCTCATTTTCTTTATAACTGTTCTTTTGATTGAAATCTGCCATTTCGGTAAGCAGCGCCACGCAGTGCAATGTTCTGTTACGCCAACACGGGTTAAAATAAATGAACTATCAATTTTAAATTAGACGGCCATTCACGCTTACACAATTCTTTTATATGTTTACTAAATAATCGAATTAAATGAATATCTCGTTGAAGTTAAAAAGGAAATTATATTTTTGTTTGAAATTATCACACACCTCCGCTTACTTTGAAAATTTCCACACGAATGACGACTGTTCAACTAGTTCGTGAAGCCTGCTACGAACGAATTTGTTTTGACAGTTGTCCACGTCAAAATGTCAAACAAAAAAAACGTAGTGTTGCTTTGAGTTTAGTCGTTGCCAGATGCTTACAATAATATAGTGGCAGCGCTGCAGCATTCAATCAGCTGTTGCAACCAAAAATTTTGTGGCCGACATTTTATTTTTCGTACGGCATTTTGCATTTTTGCGGCGATTTCGTGCTAATATATATATATTAGGACTTAAAATAATTGCAACATTTTTATCATATACAATTCGATTGTTACCGCGATCTGAGTTGGTAAATAAGAGAAAGGATACGATTGGTGCGCGCTAAAGTGTGTTATTTTTAATTTTAGCAGACCTGAAATTATTTTTAAAACTTGTGGTTCTATCAAATATTTTATTACTTGTTTTTAGACAAATAATTAACAAGGATGAGCGCACAGCCAAGCCCTTGCATGAATCCGCAGCAGCAGCAACAACAGCAGCCTACGGAACAAGAAAAGGTAAAAACTTTCAACTATATTAATTGTATGTATTGATACGTACATACATTCGGATTGTTTGTGTGTATGTATTGCGTATGCATATATAAGTGTTGTGAATGCATGTATGTATATAATATTGTACGTGAATGAATGTGTGTTTGTATGCAAATTGAAGATTTGTATACGCTTGTATAAATAGCAACAAAAATCTAATTTAATATATTAAAAATACATATGTATATATTTATTTGATTTTTTATAGTATGCTCAATACGACATACATATGTTAAAATTTTCATTCAAGTTTATTTCATTTCATTCCACAATCCATTCAATTGTTCCTCATGATCCTCTGCTCTGGATTTCTAAAGTCTCATTTAAGTTCCATTTGTCATCTCTGCCTTATCAATTGTTTTACTCGATTTCTGTAATTATTCCATTTGCAATATTCCATTCCAGTTATTCCATTTTATATCATTTTTAAATCCATATCAATTTGTTTCAACCCCTTTCTGTTTTAATTTGCATGTGCTTTCCTTAACTTCATTTATTTTATTCCTTTTACAGTTATATATTTTTCATTTCATATTTTTCTTCAAATTATATATGAAATTCTATTTGGATTTCATTTGCTTTTCTCTCATAGACTTCAAATTTCTTCTTCTATTTTTGAGTTATTCAATTTGCACATTTTAATTTGGCTCAAGATTTAATTGTATTGCCTGATTGATATATTGATGCAGTTTCGTCANATTTTTATATATTTATTTTATAATTCATATTTGTAAATTTAAATTTAAGGTTTATCAATGGATCAACGAGCTGGCTCATCCGGATACCCGTGAAACGGCGCTGCTGGAGCTGAGCAAGAAACGTGAAACGGATTTGGCGCCGATGCTTTGGAATAGTTTTGGCACCGCTTGTGCTTTACTGCAGGAGATCATAAATATATATCCATCGATAGCACCTCCTACTCTGACAGCCCATCAATCGAATCGCGTTTGCAATGCATTGGCATTGCTGCAATGTGTCGCCTCGCACCCGGAGACGCGCACCGCCTTTCTGCAAGCCCAAATCCCACTTTATTTGTATCCATTTCTATCGACCACATCGAAAACGCGTCCATTCGAGTATCTGCGTTTGACGAGCTTAGGCGTAATTGGTGCTCTGGTCAAGACTGATGAACAGGAGGTGATTACATTTCTGTTAACCACCGAAATTGTGCCACTATGTCTCACCATCATGGACAGTGGCTCGGAGCTAAGTAAGACTGTGGCCACATTTATAATACAGAAAATTTTGCTGGACGAATCGGGATTGTCATACATCTGTCAGACCTATGAACGTTTCTCTCACGTAGCCATAACGCTGGTGAGTCCAACTCGACATATCCGTATATATGTATGTATACATATGCTATATATTTCTGTCTCTCTCTATCCTGTGCAGGGCAAGATGGTTATACAGCTGTCGAAGGAGCCCTGTGCGCGCCTATTAAAGCATGTCGTACGCTGCTATTTGAGACTCTCTGACAATACACGGTTTGTCTGCACATTGTCTAACTATATGATTATTATAATTAATTTTCTCACATTGTTCAGCGCACGCAAAGCCTTGGGTCAGTGTCTGCCCGACCAGCTGCGTGACGGCACTTTTACTCAATGTTTGCAAGACGATAAGTCCACCAAACAATGGCTGCAGATGCTCATCAAGAATTTGGAACCAAACTCCGCACAGCCGCCAGGAGCTGATCCGCGACAGATTGGCATGTCGCCATTGGGTAGCTAAATCAGCCGCAGGAACAGCAAGAACAGCAGCAGCCAGTCTCCCAATTTTGTTAGTTTATCAACCTTAATTTTGTTAGATTAAGAAAGAAAGTTTGTTGAATATGGATGTGGCCCATGCAGCTAAATTGCTTTAACTAAACCATATACATATATATAATATATATGCTAATACTGATGTTTGTGTGCACATGTATACTATATAGACACACATGGATACAGCAAATCTATATATATATATATAATTGATACATTGTAAAGCTCCGCCAACAGCTAATTAGAACGTTTTCAAAACAACAAATGAAAGTTAAACAATGATAAAGCTTGCAAATGCTATAGCTATCCATTGAATTCACAAGTCATTTAGCTATAGTTTAACTAACTA